GTGTTTCGGAGTGGGTTGCGCGTGCACAGACCTTGGCCCGGGGAATGTCGCCATACCTTTCAGCAGCGAGATTGAGAAAGTAGGAGAATGTGGTAAGGGGGACGTGGCGGACCCAGGACGCGGCGGGTTTAAGGAAGTGAGACTGCGAGTGGAAGAAGTGATGGAAGGCGACTTGGACGAGGTAGCGCGAAAGATGGGCGCCGCTGGCGAGGAGGATCTGATGCCGTAAGATTTGGCGGGAGGAAAAAAGATAGAGAGCCGCACATCTAGGACACGGGGGGTAATGAGCTTGCCACGGGCGAGAGCAAAGTAGAGGGCCTGGAGAGGACCGTAGCGGGCGAGAAAGTAGTGGGCGCGGATGTAGGGGTCCTGGGAGAAGGCGTAGAGCCGGCGGTTTGTGCGGGTGAAGGCGGTGGGGTTGTCGAGGTCGTAGAAGACGAGTTGGAGGACCTCGGAGGGGCACGAGTGCAAGTCCGCCATGGCGGGGATGGCAATGAGGGGCCCAATGTGCGACGGTGGGGTCTTGAAGAGAGCCTGAGGGACGGCGGGCAGACGGAGAAGGATGGGGGTAGGAGGAGAGAAGGACGTGGTAACGGAATCGGGTCTTGAAAACTCGGGCCGGTCACAAGAATGTATCCAAGCTGCTACTTGTATCAGCTCTATCACCAGAGGCAAATATATCACTTTCTATCCCTCGTGGCCTGGCTAAGGCGCGGAACTAACATCATGGCGCGTCGTAGCATTTCGCGCACACTCAAAGTTTGCTATAAATTGCTGTACTGGGCCACTGGCGTAGTGTCTTCCTAATTAGGTAGCCAGCCTTCTTTGCGATTTCTGCAGAACGGAGCTTGCACTTCAAAACCGTCTATGTCGTTTTACACGGTGGCGGCAGTGACTCCCAATCGCGCCTCCCTTCAGAATTTTCGTCGATAGTACCCGCTCCATATCCGCCACGAAAGTCGCCAATCCCGCATCACCAGCGAGCGCGCAAATCCGTTGAAGTTCGCCCGTTCCAGCTGGCCCAGGAAACTCGCAACCGGCACCCCCGCCAAAAATATCGGCATTGCCGCCGCGGGCACACGCTCCCCGGACGCGTTGAATACCTCGCGCGCGGTCAGCAGGTGGTCGTTCGCCAGCACCGCAGTATCGTACACCGCCGCGTCTATGCCCGCCGCGGCTCCCCCATGCCGGAACACGTCCTCTTGCTGCACCCCGTGCCGTGCGCAGATGTCCAGCGGGAGCGGCAGCCGCCGGTGGCTCGCGTGGTGGGGCAACGACCAGAGCAGCGTCGCGAGCGTTTGTGCAGTGCCCAGGTGCGAGGCCGCGTGTGCGAGCGACTCCGACGCGCCCAGCCCCCGCAGCGCAAGTAACAGGTACAACACACTTGACGCGACACCCTCCGCATGCGCGACCAGTGCCTCGCTCGTCGGGTACGCCACCGTCCGAAGCTCTTCGTCCTGCGCGCATCGCGTGAGGCCTCTGTCTGCCTCAGAGACTGGGTACTACTCACCCGCGCGTCCACAATCCGCTTCAGATGGTAAGCTGGCAGGCTAGCCCTTTGTGTCGCCCCGTGCAATGCAAGCGCGATGGGGTGCCGCGGCGGCCTGCCCTACCCACCTCCGCCGTTAGTGGCCAGTATGATTTAGAGCACGCGGCTACGCACAGCATATATATCCCGTACCGCGTCCCGCCAAAACTGCATCCGCACCGCACCAAGCGTCGCAACGCTCACGTTGTCCTGCACCATCGCCAGCTCCGTCTGTGAGCGGCCATTAGGTGGGCGCGTGATCTTTCTAGATGGACTGTACAGAGAACGCCTTGATTGCGAAGTAGCTGTCTTGCAGCGACGCCGGCCAGAACTTGCTTATGAGGAATGATTCGTAGTCATGTTTTCGCACCAGCTCGCGGCAGTACTCCGCCGGGTCCGTTGGCACTATTGGCGCTCCTGCCGTTGTGGAGTATGTCGCTTTCGACAACCGCGACAAGTACCAGCGCGCCACGCGGAGCATGGGGGTTGCGAAATGGAAGAGCACCGTTGTAAGCGCGTTATCATGACTCGTTGAGTTCTCGCCTTAGCTGTCAGACCCAAAAGGGAAATTGTGATCGGCGGCAGGATTTTCGGCGATCGCTCGGCAAATAACGGCGGGCGAAGCGTTCGCGCGTTCAAGTCCCTGGGACAAGAGCCCTGCACCACAGTCAACAAACGGTGTTCACCTACTCGAAGCGAGAACTTAAATAAGTAACAATGGCGTACAAATATTGCGACAAATCAAATGTGCTCATTTCGTGTCTACTGAATACAAAGGAGAAAGGAGCAGGAGTGTGAAGGACAGAGACAGTGCACGAGCGCCCCTGCTAGCCAGCGAGTCCACGACAGAATGTAATGGGACAGAATGGGGCGGAACGGGATGGGAATGGAAGGCAGCATGGAATTGGATGAAAGCGAACGTGTGGCATGCAAGTGCTCGCGTCCAGCGAGCCAGCCAGCCAGTGGGAGGGGACGTGAGGCGGGAGGGGAGGCGGTGTGCGCGCTCAGTGTGGAAGCGGTGGCTCTGAATGCGTGCCCATACTTGTACGGGGGTGCGAGCGACACCGGGAAGACATAGGCGAGAGCATGGGCACGGTGCGGAAGAAGGAGTGGCACAATATCTGCAGGGGAGGAAGGGAAGAAAAGGGATGGAGAAAGAACACGCACCACGCCCCGTGCCCCAAAGGCCGCCCATAAACGACCCCATGATTGCTCCCCGAAGCGGATCTACTTCCCTTCGTGACGGATGCCCCAGCGCTTCCCGAGCGCGGGGAACGGCTGCCGCGTGAGTAGCAGGCAGAAACGAGAAAAGCACGACGCTCCACGGGATGAGCGACAGGCCGCCCAGGCCCTTGACGTACAGCTGCGTAGCCGCGGTGTAGCGCGGGGCCATCGTCGCTGCAAGAAGGTGCTCCAGCGTCAGCGCCAAGTGCGAGAACAGGAAGAATGGCATGGATGGGGTTCGGCGGGCGGCGGTGGGCGGGGAGCGCGCGCGAGGAGCGCGAAGGCGGGGGCGAGCAGCGGCGGGGCGGCGAGGAGCCCAGCACAGCCAGACACTGACGTCGGGGCCATGGCGACTCGGAGGCTGCGCAGGTACGTGGGCGGAGGGCGTTGGAGGCGAGGACATGATGCGGCGCTTGGGCGCACATGGCGGGAGACGACTGCGGGCGAGCGGGACTGATAATGGTAAAAGGAGAGTGCGGCGGTGTGACAGTGTGTTTGGCTTGTCAACATTTGCCGCGCTGCCGGACATTGATCCCCATCAAAATAAGCCGCCCTGCCGCGATCAGACGACCTTTTTGGGCTTGACATCTAAGGTGGAAAGTCAGGAGTCGTTATCATGTGGGTACCGGCAATTGACGGCTTTTTGCCGTGCTGTTTGCAGTTGTTTGTTCTCTGCCATTGGACGGTCCCAAAGCAGGTGCGACAAAGTTTGAGTCGTGGAGACTTCAATAATGGGTGTATTAGTCTGATGCAAGAGTATAAAGTGCAGATTAGAAGGTATAGAATGCCTATAAGGCAGCGAAATCAGTTAAAAGACATCAGGCATGACAATATCACTGTCGGCGTCTTGATCCACATATATTGGCATGTCCGAGCTTGAGCTTTCTGGACCACAGACTTGGTTTTACTGCCCTTCCTCTTCCATGAGTCCTTTGCCATGGTAGTGTCACGTCTTGCGTGGTCCAAAACACGTCGAATGTGGAGGGAGTCGACCCAAAAGGTCACGTGGCGGGTCGGTGATGGCCTTTCGCGATGACCGCGGGTGGCCTGTACCGGCCCGAAATAAATTGTTTTGAGTATACAGACCGAATTGCGTAATTATTCGGCGGTCTTTGTACGTGAGAAATTTATAATTTCTATCGATTTCAAGTCATGGTGTAACCAAAAACACCTGGTTTTGCAACTTTTTTCGGTTCGGTCACGTACATAACCCAAATACAGTCGATACAAGCTGATTCCCCCAGTAGATTGGGGTGCTTACATGACTGTGGAAGCCCACAGACGGGAGTCAAGTTTTGGACCATCAATTCTGGCCAAATCAGGCATCATCGGAGTTTTAAATACCACAGGATTGCCGGTACCCACGTTATGTGTGTGTGCGTACTTCACCCTTGCAAAGTACTGGGAGTGGGCAGCGACCGGGCCATCAGTGGTCTATTTGCGCATGCTATTCCCACTCTGCCGGACACAAATCGATGCCCCGGAAATTCTAAGAGTCTGTGTACCTAGGGAGGTCAAGATGAAGAGATAGAACTTAGTTTTATAAGGAACTGGACAGATCGGTTGGGATTTTTTTTTTCAAGTGCGAATAATGAAGTCAGCTTCCGCTCGGCATCTGCGCCTTGGCTTCGGCAGGATAATCTGCCCCAACCAATCTACGGGTTAGGTTCTTATTCACTGTTTGCCGGTCGGCCGAGTCCGGTGCGCGGGCCTCATCCAGCGGTAGACGCCGACCGGCGGAAGCTGCCAACAGCTGCCATCAACTCTGTTACAAGTGTGACTATACACTCCAAAGTGGCCGACTCGACGACTCCCGACGCAACAAGACACCCCAAATCATAATTAATTACTAGCACATCTTATGATAGTTATATCCAAGTTATTTCATCCATTTTTGACTTTTGGTGTGAGCTGAAACGAGATATAGGGTCGGAGCAAGTGTGGCGCGTTTTGATGTGGCTGTGAGACAAGCCATCAGCCCATCAAATTACCTGCCGCTGCCCACTCCCAAAAGTACGGGCCAAAAACATTGTTGCTCGGTTATTATAAATCATGTGACTATGTTTGGTTAAGAGATATCATACAGTAACAGGGGTCGAGACGAGTTGTCAGCCTCTGTTGTTCCCACCATCCCTCTCTTTTTCGACGCTAAGCACATTGAGCTGACACCACCTTGCTCCGCAAGTACAGGGCATACTTGCACATTCATTCACGTGGATGTGTACCGTTCCTGGAGGATCTTTCCATCGGGCATGTAGTGTAGGGGTTATCGCGTTCGCTTCGCATCGAGTCAACTTGACTATGTGATTGTGAAAGGTCCTCGGTTCAATTCCGAGCTTGTCCACTTTTTTGCAGTTATCATTTCCATGCGGGAACGATATGATTCAGACTTTGGCGTGTCCTTTTTTTTGAACGGTTTTTTGTCCCGCCTTGGGAATGCCATCATCCAAGCAGTTGAGCATTTTCCCCTTCCACAGCACTGAATCGTAATCATTGCCTAGATCTACATACACATCCCTCCTCTCTCACCCTTCCCGCCACAACAGGCTCTTCTCGAGACAATTGCCGCCAGTGCCACCTTGCTTGGTACCGACAGCCCAGACGCCCCACTTGGGCCCCTTCTGGATCATTATCACTCACATCTCACCCACTGGCAGTCGTTGGATTATACCCAATGGAAAGAGGGTGCTAGTGGTACATTTCTCTCTCTATCTTCTGCCACTTTATCTCACTATCTGACTTTCCAGCCTTGATTGAAACTCGTCAGGTCCGGCTTGCCGCTATAAGTGCACACATGAGGTATGCTCGTCCTAGTTGAAGCGTACATCACAGTTTACAAGCGATGGAACAGTGTATGCCAGCAACTCAAGGTTGACATGGATGCGCGTGCTGCTGAGGCACGCAGAATTTTAGAAGCTCGGGAGTCCACCATCTCTGCCGTATACAAAAAGCTCGTCGTAGAAAACATACACTTTAGCTCCAAACTAGATGCCAAGCCGTGTACCGATAATCTGTAGAATTGTTGTATATGTTAAATGGTCCTAGAACACGTTTCTTGAACTACAGTGGCAGATCTACTTGTAGCGAGATAACCTATTGTGGAAAGTCGACTCGGGACACGTGATTCGCCAGAGTCGCGTCCTATGAACTTGTCATTGAAACTTGATGTCTCGCCGCCCCAGATTGACACAAGACTCACATAAAGCAATTGTCCAGCATGCTATTGCCACAGCCGGACACATACGTGAGTATACTATCCGCATGCGAAAGCTCGACTTGGACTGCGAGGAGGCCGAGCGAGACCGAATTCTGGCGGTCGGCGAACTGTTCACCAACGTCGTACTCCAGGACAAGCATCGCAAGGAGCTGAAAGAGGTGGAGAAGGGGGTCCTACTTTTACAGCTCGAACTGGAACGCTTTCGCCTTGAGTGCCCACCCGTAGCAGCCTCTGTCGTGCCCATGTTGGACAAAGTCGATGGTCCTGACCTGAGTTCCGACACTCTTGTTTCCGGGATGGAAAGTCTAGAGGGTTTAGATTTTGCTGACTATTTCAAGGATCTGGACGAGAACGACTTGGCCTCCAACAAGTTCACATCAATCTCTCCCGCCCACTCTCCGCGCACCACATCAAGCCCACCTGTTTTACGCCAAGAGTTGCATGGGCACCTTCCCGAAGGATTCATACTTCCATCTGTACTGCCCCCTGTGACGCATCTGCCACAAATAGTTCTCCCACCCCCAGCTCTCCTGGCTCGCTTGACTCCTGTGTCCCAACACCAGCCATCGCTTCTCAGTCCAGCAATCACTGATAATCGATCTTTAACGGCTGTAGCGCAGGTGCATGCGGAAAAGCCACTGGCAAAGCGTGCATACCAGTTGCCCAAACCCAAGACACTCTTTTCTACTGCTCAAAACAGTGCATACATCCACAGCCCGTATAACGGCTCATCCAAGCCATCAGCATCACTTGCGACCGATTCCCCTGCCCGCCGAGAACTGCACGTCAACAGCCCAAACGAATCGCGATCTTACCAGACGGGCCCAGCGCCAGCCCACCTGACCCCTGCCCGGACTGCACTCGCTTCATTCTCTTTGCCTTGTTCTGTTGAGCAAGACCTGCCCATGTCCCGTCCACCGCCAGCCTCTCGAGCAACAATTCATCCATTCTTGGCTCACCCAGCCATGTCGCTCCACTCACCAAACCTGCCGCTTGGCCGCCAGCAGATGCTCCCCTTACCAGTCCCACTGGCCCGCTCAAGTCCTGCGACTGAACGCCAGCTGTCATGTGAGCGGCAGGCCTATCCTGTCTAGTATGCTGCTAATTCCTTTGTTTTAGCCAAGTTGGGCGGCCTACCGCCCCCACCGCCCTTGTTGCCTCGCTCTGCAAGCTCCAGTATTCCGCAAAAACGCCGTTACGACTCACTGCAATAGCCCTACACGAATCTGCCAACTCAAACTCGGAGCATAGTTTTCCTATCTAAAGATACGGCGGGGGATGGATGGGTGGATGGATGGATCATTGATTAGACACAAATGGCGAATAAAGTGATTATTCTTAGTCACGAGTAAACAAAGACAATCCAGGAACATTGTGAATCTCCGTCTCGACCACAACAGGCCGCCGAAATGCTACCACCCAAATTCTTTCTGTATACGCTGCCGCTGCCTCGGGACATTTCAAGCCATTGGTGATGATGAATTTGCATCTAGTTGGAGGGTGCATCCAATTGTGCACGGATTGCCAGGAGGGGTATGCTCTGCCTGCAATCACAAAAATAACAAGTGTAAGACTTTCCAGACAGGGACAATGATTCAGGAATCCTGTAATGGTGTTCTGTAGTGATTCCAGCGTTGCGTCTACGGCTGGAGGAACATGAATGATGAGCGCTTGCAGAAATAACAGGGTTTCAAAGGATATGCCGTCAAGATATGCTGGCACAAGTTGAGCTTGGTACGAGCAGGTAAGATGTTGACGTACAGAGTTGGGTAGCGTGAAGCTCAATACAGGTGAGAAGTGTTGCCTTGTTGATTATCTGTGCCAGGGCTGCCACATCGCTCACTGCTGCCAGGGACAATGCACGTATACGGCTGAAATCCAAGCTCGTGTGCAGAAACTGGATGACGTTAACTGGGTTTCGCCTGTCGTGCCAGCATCTGTGCAAGATCAAGGTTGCAGGTGTAAGGCAGCTGGTTGTCGAGGTGATGGTGTCGTGGAAGGTCTTTTCGACAATGATTATCCGGAGTAGCAAGCGCGACAGATTTGGTGCAAGAAGATGGAGGGTGGAAAACAATAACCGCGCATGTGCAAGACAAATATGAAGGTCTCCGTCCTCTTCTACTGTGATGTGTTGCAGTTGAGGTGCAACCATACCTGCAAGACACGGCAAGCACGCTTGGCACCCGCGTACCACGAGCGTCAAGGATTCGAGCCGAGGCAAGCCACCTCCATCCTGCTGTGTGCTGATTCCTAGGCCACAGACAAGACGCAACACTTGCGCGCGAGATGCAATGTGCGCTGGTGGCCGCCCTCTCTTCCATTCCTGGCGGCTAAATTGAATCGCCCTTGTTGTTACTTCAGAGGCCTTGTTAACCAGCGCTAGCTGGAGGGAATCGTGGTGGGAGACATGGTTCCAAAGCTCAAATAAGATGTCGTCTACGGCAAAAATTGAAGCCATGGACGTATGAGCGAAACGATGTGGCTGTGCTTTTTTCACCCGTACTTTGCACCGGTCAATTTGAGCAGTTTTATTTGTACTATTACATGAACTGAGCCAAGCACGTTTCCACCAGCGAAATCTCGGCCTGACTAGTAGAGTCTAGCTCGGCACGTTCACTTGGTGACAGCTGCAAGCGATCACAAGTGAAAAAGGGTGCACGGAAGACGAGGAGAAACTGACTAGGGCGAGGACGCATGCAAGTTTGTGGTTGGGATCGTTTACGGGTGGTTGGCCAGATCCACCAGACGCAAGTGAATTGAGGGCTGTCCGAGCCCTGTCCAGATCTATGGGGTGTTTGTAGCGTGTCAGCATTGACTCGTGGTACGCGCTGAGCATCTTGCGGTGGACATGCTTGAGAGAGCATATGTCAGAGGTAAGATGGTGCATAACCTCGTCACGGATGGGAGAGCTAAGGTGTGGGTGAATGGGAGGGCTATAAAAGTGTTGGCGGAAGCTTACCTATAATCGCCCGCTGGGCAGCGGAACAACTCGTGGGCATCTGGTTTGGCGGGGAGAAGGACAGCCCACTCCGAGTGGACACGTAGCCTAAGCAAGTGTGAGCGGAGAGCAAGTGGGGATGATACACATACGTGTGGTTGTTCCACTGTCGTTTTTGCGCAAATTTGGGCGCGTCTGGGGGACAAAGGTGGCAAGTGATGAAAGATCTGGCTTGGCCGGTGAAACGGTGCACCTGAGTAAGGGCTGCAGAATGGTGACTTCGCGAAGAGCGGACTCTAACACAAAACCCACACACACACACACAACTCACTACAACCAGTACAGAGTGCTAAGATTGAGTTCGGATCCTTCTGAAGTATACAGATAAGATGAATTCTCTCTTTTATTGAAGTGGGACAAGTATCGACTCGACAAGTTTTGGTAGAACTAAGTTTGAGATTACAATAGCTTCAGGTAGCTACCAACTGAAGAACAATCGCGAACACACGAAAACACAGACAAGGGGTTTCGGGTGTAAGGATGTTTTGTTGTGAAAGTCTCCCCGGCTCAAGTCTCAACGACTTTAACACGGACGTGAACGGCTTCCTGACGGGCGCTTGACCAGGCCAGGCAAGGGAACAACGACTACGACCAGACTGCTAAACGCGTACAGGTTCCAATAGCCCAACTAACCGAAATATGACCAGGCTGCTAAACGCGCACAGGTTCCAATAGTAACGGCCGCCTGCCTCTAGCAACTTAACTGAGGACTTTATCGAATGCTCGCCGTGACCCTCCACGAGACAAGGTGTGCTTATCTGGAACTGCTGCCGTGACCCTCCACGAGACAATAGCGTGTACCACCAGAAGCCTTGCAAGCTCAGGAATCAGCAGTTAGCTATAACTGATAAATCTCAAGTTCGCGAAATTGTTAATGGATCAAGACAAAGATATGTTTTTGGTACACAAATCTCCGCAGATACAGAGGACACCAAAGCCTTTTGGACAGAACTAGCTGATGGGCTATTTCCTGGGGCGAGGATGAACTACTGCAATGCGTGCTCTACGTGCTATTTTATAGGTTTTCGCTAAATACATGACAGACTGATATGAGTAAACAGGACAAAGGAAAATGAGTAATGAAACGGATTCGGAACGGAATATAACGGCCACGCGTCCTCTGTATAGT